AAATCATATAAAGGACCTGCGCACTTCAATGAGGCAGGGGTCATAAATGCATGACAAATGCCTTGTGTAAGTTCCATTCTTGTAGGACTTCTGATATGCCAAATGACACTTTCTACTAATTGTGTTGCTTGTAGCCAAGGCTTGTAGTCTTATTTTTTACTCTAAATGTGCCCAGCCCCAAATCAGATCAGAATCATGACACTCTGGAAGGGGGGGGTGTTAATTCTCCTCCCCGTTTCTGCCAAAACTCTTCCCACATGGGAGAAAAAGAAAGAAAATGAAGAGTGTCAGGTAATGCACAAAAAATATAAGAAGTTTATATAGCACTGTATTCCCTGCTTCCAGATCAAACATTACTGATAGCTTATCTGTGATTCTTTAGATCTTAGAGAGCTAATGTTCTTCATTAAATGGCATTTCTAATCACTGCTATTGCCCCCACCCCCACTGAGGAAACCCATTTTACAAACATTTGTCAGGACAAAGTGAGCAACAGCTTTGCCATAATATGGCTGCCAAAAGCCTGACACTGTAAGAACAGTTTTAGACTTAAGATAGGATTCCTGATCTGAGCAGGAATACATTTTGCAAATCTTGTTTCCCACGTACACTTTATAGATGGTAATGCTTGCCTGTCCGGAAGGTTCTTTCTGTACTTTTCCTAATCCCATCCAATCCCTTTTGTTTTATTCTAATGTGCCTCTAGCATACTGTGTATGTGATTCTCCACCCAATCTCTCCCTCCAAACTGTGTATAGCTAATATATCATAAAAGCTTGTTGTACAGACACCATCTTCGTAATCCCTTCAGGCCTGCCTACATGTGCATGGATTTCCTGTACATTTGAATACAGTAAACGTTCTTTTGATTATATATTCCCGTGAACTCTCTTTTGAGTGTTTTTCACTCCTGACGCATTCATCCATACTAAATTTACTGGACTAGAAGGAGAGTTGACTTACCCTGTTACCTGAAGATTCTTTGAAAGCCTTAAGAAAAGTCTGTGTTCTTCTTTGTTAACTCTTCCATGTGAGCAACTTTTCATATATGCACCCAATCAAATATTCAAATAATTCCTATATGGTTTCTTTTTTTAATTCAGCAGAACACTCGAAAACAATATGCCGTTCAACTTTTGGTTTCTGACTAT